ACGCACCTCCATCCTGACCTAGATCGCCTTGCTACTTTCCTTCGCGCTGCGTCAGGTCGCGTCCGCCTGGCCAGACACAAATACACCGGCAAGCAAGCTGCTGTCAAGATCGTACCCAAGCAGCTCATCCTCTCATCCCGTGTCTCCCTTCGCGACGCGAGTGCGAAGCAGGACAAGATGATGCTCGGCATCGAACGAGAAATCGTCATCATGAAGCTCATCGAGCACCCCAATTTGATCGGTCTTTGGGATGTCTACGAGACTTCGAAAGAACTGTGAGTCGGCTGCCGACTGCTGAAGCTCACTGAGCTGGCCGCTGACTAGCTAACGTCTGTATACAGGTATCTCGTCATGGAGTACGTCGCCGGCGGAGAGCTCTTCGACCACTTGGTCGCCAAAGGTAGATTGAAGCCAGATGAGGCACGATCCTACTTCCGTCAGATCATCTTCGGTCTCGACTTTTGCCACCAGCATAAAATCTGCCACCGTGACTTGAAGCCAGAGAATCTGTTGCTGGATGCCACAAAGCAGATCGTCAAGGTCGCCGACTTTGGTATGGCCGCTCTGGGATCTGGACCTAGCGGGCCGGTGTCTCTGGAAAAGATGCTCGAGACCAGCTGCGGCAGTCCGCACTATGCATCGCCGGAGATTGTCAGCGGCAAGGCATACAGGGGCGACGCTAGCGATATCTGGTCTTGCGGCATCATTCTCTTCGCCTTACTCTGCGGACGCTTGCCGTTTGACGATCCCAACATTCAGGTTCTCCTTAGCAAGGTCAAGCGCGGTCGTTTTGAGATGCCAGCATTCCTCGAACCAGGCGCCAAGGATTTGATTTCTCGCATGCTTGAGATCCAACCCGAACGACGTCTGCGAATGGATCAGATCATGAGGCACCCTTGGTTCACCAATGGTGGCCGCGAGTCTTCGTACAATCCGGTCCAGCCTCTTCTCGGACGCGATGAAACTGGTCAGTTAGAACGCATGGACCCTTCGACGATTGATGTAGAGCTGCTCGGCAACCTCAAGACCCTCTGGCCTGAATACGACGAACGGATGCTTATGACGGAACTTTGTGGCAGCGACGATAATTGGCCAAAGATCTTCTACTCTCTGTTGATGCGCCATCGCGAGGAACATGGAGGGGATGACGATGAGGACCCTGAGCCTGAGCCCGAACCCGAACCCGAACCCGTCAGGGCACCCTCT